ACCGCAACCAATAACAGCTTGCAATACCAATGATCATCCACATTGTGTTTTTGTACAATACCTCTTCCCGCAGAAATTCTTTGCTGAGTCCGAAATCTGTCAATACCACATGACCTTCACTGTCCAGGAGAATATTTTCCAATTTGATGTCACGGTACACAATCCCGAGCTGCACAAAACCAACACCTCAATTACATTGATGGTTAAAACAGTAGGTTAGCAACAGATACTGTATACATAAAAAAAAAAAAAAATACTGAAAAAAATGACAGCTTTTATGGTTATATTTATTAAGTGTTTGGTGGTGACCATACCACAGTTAAATAAGGTCAGTGAAATGTTGAACTGTTTGCTTCAGTACATAACATTCTTTGAAGATACAATATTGTCCATTTAAAATGAGGCAGTAATACACTAACTCTGAAGAATAAACTCATCTTCCCACTGCCCTACTGGATTGAAATCCATTACCTGCACATTGATGTAAAAGGGAACACAAACCTTGTGCAGATGCTCCAAAGCCAGGATTATTTCTCCAATATAAATGCGCACCGCCTCCTCAGAAAAGTGATCTTGCTGATACAAATGAGTGAACATCTCCCCTCCACTCACATAGTCTACAGACAGAAAGACACATAATAGATATTTAGCAAAATGATCTGCCAAGGAAAAAAATATCCATATAGGTTCGAAAGGAAAAACAAATATAGAAAAACATTATGTTTGGTTCAGTGACCTCGACTCACCCAGGATGAGGTGCAGCTTGCTCTGTGTCTGAAAGGCATAATGAAGTGTGACTAAAAAGGGCGACTGGCGAATATGCTCCAGCACCTGCCTCTCGGTGCGAGTATGTTCAGTGGTCTTGGCCTTCTGAACGATAGCCGCTTTCTTTAGCACCTGTAGAGTTCGAAAATTAATTAGGGCTTTTTGAAATGAAATACTGAATGGATTCAAAACCAAATGAGGTCATAGCAAGTAGTTATGGCAGTGTTGATCAGTCACACATTGCCCAAGTTTGGTTGTTGGCACAATTATTGCCCCCCCCCCCCCCAAAAAAATAGCCAATTAAAAAAGACAATACATTTTAATGGTAAGTATCCACAATTCAGAACAATACAGCCTGTCTTGGACATGTGTTACAGATGTTTTTTTTGAACAAAGTTGAGTGGCACAAGTTGTAGGTCACATTAACAATGGAACATTTTAGGGTGGGTGCCTTTTTTTCTCCACTGTATGTAGCTTGCCCTTTCAAGCCTTGGGAAATAAGTGGCCAATTTAAGCCTCTCTCTGGATCTACCAAGCCAAAAATACTTGGACTTTCAGGCTTACCTTCATCGCATATAGCTGGCCTGCATCGTGACCACTGTTCTTCCTCACTAAAAACACTTTTCCATACGCTGGATATAAACACACATTTTAGAACAATCAGTTACTTGAAGTAAGATGGAAAACTAACAACTTAAGATGATTGTATGTAATTAGGCGACGGGCCATAACAAAACAGCATTCTTACAAGTTTGTATTGTTCTCAAATTGCATGGTTTGCTTGTGATATGAACATAATCATAAAAATCCTTATCATGTTGTGCTCCCCAATATTCTACATCCAAATAGATTTGTACAAACATTGATGCAAACAGAATCCAATTTGCAATTTTCAGGGACGTGTTATTCCAGTGTGGTGTTATTCAAGCATAGCTACAATAATGCCCTGGCTACAATTCACTTTTGCCTCTGATTGAAAATCATGGAGCCCACAATACATGGAACAAAAATACAAACACAAAAGCTAACATTTTTGCTCCCATTTTTCATGAGCTTAAACGAAAACATCTACTAAGACCTTTCTTCTCTGTACACTATAACTCTCAAATGCAGTAAAAAAAAATTCTCTCTCTCTCAGAGAGAGAGAGAGAGAGGGAGAGAGAGAGAGAGAGAGAGAGAGAGAGAAAAAAAGAGTATAAAGGAGAAGTCAATTCAAAAAGACATCTCAATGGGCGGCCATTTTACTACATTTTCTCGACTGAAGATGACATCCCAATTTCTCTGGGCTCAGGTTACGACCAATCACGGCTCACCCGTTTTCTGAAGCTGAGCCGTAGTTGTTACCTGAGCCCTGAACAACTCTGATGTCATTTTCAGTCGATGTCAAGTGGCAAAACAGCGAAATGGACAAAAATGTGTGGATTTTACTGTTTAACTCTTATTCCACAAAGGCCACATTAATTACAATGCTGTGTTTAGACTAGTAGTGCTGCAGAGAACAAATTCTTGTAAAGAAAATTTTGGGGTTGATTTCCCCTTTTAAGACAAAAAGTATCATGGGTTATTGCAAATGAAGGATGTATTTCATCATGTATGGGCGTTGCGTATTGCTGCCAATACAAGTCTTTTTACCTCCAGTGCCCAACACTTTGAGGAGCTCAAAATTCTCCATGCCGACCTTCTCAGTGTGTCCTGTGAGGTTAGCTGGTGGCAAGAGTGGGAGAAAAGAGTTGGCATTTATTGTTTATACACCATTTGGTACTGTAGAAGTGCAGTTTTGCACAGATGTATTCACAATATGTAACAAGTTTTTGTGTTATGTCGGCAAGTGATATAGAAAATGACAAAAATGTCATAGAAGACCAGAGACGACAATGCATCCCCCAATGGTTTATTACAATGTTTATGTACAACAAATGTTATATGTAGGTGGAAGAATTAAGTTTTATTTTCAGGTCACATTAACAAATAACTGCCTTTTTAATAATGCATACTAGTAAAATGTCATAAACTAAATCGAGCATTTTGGGGCCGGAGTGAGATTTCTGGAGCTAAACTAAACATACAGGCATGTCAACGCTGACTGGAGTGGGATCTCGTCTAAATTATTAATTGAAAATGTAAGAATTGAATGCAAAACATCACTGCTTTTTGTGATTCATATAGAGTATTTCCACACAGCTTTACGCTTAGGTTTGTGTCATCTCGATTTCCAGCAGTGCTCTCAATAATGGCGAGGCAGTGATCGATAAAATACACGATCAGAATATTGACTTACCATTGGTGATTTGATGCTTGACGGTACAGGCGCTTTCATTTGCCTGTGTATCGGAGTCATCACTACTATCTGACGTGTCCCCCGACATAACTTGAGCCGGAGTAGTTTTCCCTGCACGAACTATCTGAGATGAATTGTAAAACACTTGTTTGATATTAGCGATATTCCACTCTGCGCAGCTAATTTATTTACTGTTGTTAAATTGTGGAGACGACGAGGATTAGAGGAATGAACGGACAGATGCGCACAAACAAGCCGCCCTTGTATTAATCCTAGTGTTTGGCATTCTGCGGTTTTTATCACGACAAAGCAGCTGTAAAACCACTTACATTCTGATTATGGAACAGTGTCGGTCATCAATTTCTCTACGGAAGGTGAGACTGTTTCTTTCGGTACTGTACGTATTATTACACTGAAAGTTTAAGAAACGGCGTTAGCTTTAGTTGCTAAAGAGTTGTCAATGTATATTCACTCGCATTCACATTAGCGCTCCCTTGAGACTGATCAAATGTGAATATGAATCGACATGTAAGGCGGAGTCGCGGCTTTAATCGCTAAAATATGCCAACTGGCTCGCAGACAATCTGTGCGGTAGTTAGTAGATTGACAACCTGAAATCTGGCTAGCAAATGGCTCTTGTTGTCCGTCAAACTTTGTAGCGTTAGCCGGGGCTAGTGTTTTCTGGATAAATAACCTCCTCGGGTCTCGGCGATAAAGGCCATGCTGGAGGAAGGGCTCCTTTTCTTCTCTGCCTCCGCAAGAGCCTTATTCACGTTTCCTCCATTTTTTTTCAAGAACTATTAACACATCACTTGATGTTTGATCAGCTGCGAGCTAAGTGCTAATAGCAGGATGCTTTCGACACAACCTGGGCGATGCTCGTCACGTGACTATGAAAAATATGGGCGGGGCCACGGTGGATGTGTCAAATCCCAAATCTGTCAGAAATGGAACGAAAAAAAAATTTTTTTAAATTTGAATACCACCAAAAATTTACATATTTTTGTTTCTCATCTCATAAAGTAAAACTCATATGTAGCTTCATTTCCAAGAATGAAAATATTCTTTTGTAATACTGTATACACCTCATCTGCCTTGTTGGGTCCGGTGCAAGCTTACTGGAAAATGAAATCAGCACCCCCAAAAATATTGTCATCAGCAAGTATAAGTGCTCGACTTCAAAAAAACAAAGTGGACTAATACCAGCATGTGACATGACAGCCTTCGTCATCACTGACTGCCTGTACAATTTGGGGACTTGAAGCTATGTGAATTCTGTGCCTTTTCCTTCATTCTCCAGACTTTGGGACCTTGATTTCCAAATAAAATGCAAAATTAAAATTCGTCTGAAGAGGACGTTGAACCATTGAGCAAGGTTCTTTTTCTCCTTAGCTCAGGTTAGACACTTCTGACGTCTGTGAGTTGCTTGACAGCAGAAATGCGACATGTATACCTTATGACCAGGAATTCTCAGTGTATGCACTCAGTCCACTCCATATGAAGCTCCCACAAATATTTTTGGGTTTTTTTTGTTTATCAATGTCCTCAAAGGCATGGTTCTCGCTTTTGCTGGTGCACCTTTTACATCCACCTTTTTTTCCCCCGACTCAACTGTCGACGCATATGCATGCATGCAGCACTGGAGCAACCAACTACAAAGACTGTCTTCTGCACATCGGCAAAGTCAGAACACTTTCCCACGAGTGCATAGACGACTGACCCACTGAGACACCAAAGGCTTAGGAAAGCTTTGCGGGTGTTCAGCTACAGTAATTAGTTTAGGGTATGACACCATGACTTTGCAAATGAACTTTTTAAAAATCAAATTTTGAGACACCGAATTTTATATTTTCATTGTCTGTAAGACAATCAGTTTGCAAGAAATCAGAGCTGTAAGTATTTGATTCTATGTGTAAAAAACAAAAACAAAAACAAAAAAAAAACTCCACAGCAGCTGCTGTATTAATTTTAATCATTTGAACAGCTGATATTTAAGTGAGTCCAAAGTGATATAAGTTGTCCACAATCATACAACATAGACCCATTATAGAGATCGGTGGATCCAGCTGACGTTAAAGAGATGACAAAAAAAAGGGGGGGTAGAGGCAAACCCATTGATTCTTTAATTTTGAAGCACCGTGTTTAGTCAAGCCATTCACAGCAAACAAACAACTCCAATTTGTGACTGACATGTGACTGTGAAAATTATTCTCAATTTTCTTGCGTTAAGGGAAAAACATACTCTGCTTTACAGCGAGTCACGTGCTTTAAAACACCAATGGATCTGATACAGTATATAGTAAGATGTCCATCCATCTTTTGATTTGGGCACATCCTCATGAATCTGGTGTCAAACTGGCAAAAAAAAACAACAAAAAAAAAAGTCAGGACTTGAAAAAAACGTAAAAAAAACACTGTTAAATGAGACCACGGAGCATAATTTTGACAAAAAAAGACAATGTAATATTTAGAGATATTTTGCATTTTGTTCCCCTTTTTGGGGCGTTTCTTCTTATCTTGGCTTGTGTCACATCAGTGAATGGCTATGAGTCCGACATCCAGGAGTTTCTGAATTTTCTTTGCAATGACAGGATTCTTTAAGTGGCTGAAGTAAAGAAACGGGGGAAAAAAAAGAGCCATCACATTTTTATGAAACCGTTCAAAATGCAGATGCGGTAAAATAAACCAAAGTTGTGAAACTTACTCGCTGAGCGCCTGAGGGTCCTTCTGCATTTGCTCAAGTATCATGCGCATGGCGGGGTCCGACATAATCTGCTGCACCTCGGGATCGGCCATGGCTCTTTGCTTTACTTCCTCAGGACTGTCGTTCCTCATTGCCTGACTCATCATGCAGCGCTGTAACCCTTCTGTGGCTTCCTGAGTGGACAATGTAAAAAATGAAAGTCATTCCCACTACACATACGAATATATTTGACAGGGGACATCTGACCTGCTGGTTGACGTGGTGGTGGTGGTGGATATACTATGTTTCTAATTGTACCCACATTTGGAAGAGGCCCAATTCTGACTTGAGGTATCATGTCATGCATTTTTGTTTTCTTTACATTGTCATCAAAAAGAAAAGGAGTGGAAAAAGTGTTGCTTAAGCTTATAGTATAAAACCAGACTAAAATACCTTTGAAGAAGAATCAAGCTCCAAAGCCTTTTGGTACACATCCATAGCTTTGGAAAAATCTTTCATTGCTTCCAAAGCAGCTGCTTTGCGTGTGTAGCCTTTAACTGTTGACACATTTCGTAAATGGTCACATAAAACAAAACTTTCTTGGCAGGTACATTACTTAGAACTCTAGCATGAGATCCACTAAGGAATGATGGTGTCCAACTTACTGAATGTTGGGTCAAGTGTGATGCACTCCTCACAGTCCTGATCAACAAAGAGTTACGTTACTTCATTTTTTAAAACTACTTTTCAAATTATCTAAAAACCCAGTGTTTGGCAATGTTGAATAGCACACCTTCAGGGCAAGTTGAAACTCCAACAGCTTAGTGTAGCAGGCAGCTCGGTTACTGAAGAGCTTTGCATCGATTGGGTTTCTTTTGATGGCCTCAGTGTAATGTTTCATGGCGAGAGGATAGTCTCCTGCAAGGCACAAGGTACCCAAGTTAATCATCTAAAAATGAAAATAGTATGGCAAGGTGTGCTTTAAAAGGCTGCACAAACCCTTCTGGAAGGCTTCATTTCCCTTGTTCTTCTCCTCCAGCGCTAAATCGGGATTAATGTAGGCTTGTTTCTCCAACTCTTTCAGGATCTTCTCTGCCTGCAGAATCAGGATAAAACATGCATGAGCGGCTGGAATTTCTTTATGGACGTAGTGCTTAAGCCATCAACTTAATCTTAAGCTTGAACATCGCGGAGAAAAATGTCGACGTTTTCGATTGTGGGGGAATGGACAAATTGGGTGTACACGAAACTGTAAACTATGTAAGGGCCATGCACCTGTTGACACTTTTTCAAGACATCAGGGGTGCGATGCTCAGTTAAACTCTTGTTGAAATACTGAACCGCTTCTTTGTACTTTTCTTGCTTGAAGTAGGAGTTGCCAATCCTGGCCAGTGCCCTTTAAAAACAGAAGAACGAGACGGAAATAAACAAAATGTATTATTTCCAAAGATCATTCCTTGTGAGAGTCTAAATCTCCTCAGTTAAAGCACCTGAAATGAAAACTGAAAAACACAGACGTTCCACCACTGAAGGGAACACATATTCCACAAATGGAAAGACAAGTGTAGAGTACTTCCATCAGAAAGTTGATATCGCTAGAACCAAATAAAAGCTGTGGAGAACTGTGTATATTTTAATCATTGGATGGTAAGAGATATTTCTGTGGTCAATGCACAATTTGTCCCATCCAAACAACACTTAGCTATTTCCAAATCGCTGAAGACACTTTAGGATTTAACAGTTGAGTAAATTGCTTCAAAAACGACAGAGAAACAACTTGGAAAAACTCACTTGGCGATTTGTCTGTAGTCTTCTCGGTTCTCTCTGCCCACGTCAATAGCCTTCACACAGAGCTCCCTGCACTTCTCAAAATCCCCCTTCTCGAAGTACACGGCTAAAGGGATCGCGAAAAGAACATTTCAACTCAAAACGTACATATGAAATGGCAGTTCTGTATTAAAAAAGGTCGGCGCAAGCCATTTCACAACGCTGAAAATAAGAGCACATTTGTGTTTGACATTTACAAAACCGTCAAAGTACATACCAGCTTGATTTGAAATATAAGTCATGTTGGTAGGATCGTGCTTGATCGCTTCTTCGTAATGTTTCAGCGCGGTATCAAAGTCCTTGTTCTTATAGGCAGCGTTCCCAAGTTCCTTTTCTTTCAATGCCTATTAAACATGCAAAGCGGACAATTATCACCTAAAATGACAAACTGTAACAGTCAGTGACGACCTCGTGGCCAAAACCTGATCGACTGACTTACATTTCTCTTGTTCTCAGGAAGGTCTTCGTTTACAGAAGGGGGAGGCTGTGTCTCTTTAGGTTTGGTGGTAGTAGAAGTAGGAGGAGGAGGAGTGGGCTCGTCTTCTTCATCCATTCCGGACAAGTTTAGTCCCAGCAGCACAGAGAGTGTGGTCATCACTCTTTTATCTTGTAACTTCCTACAAATCAAATGTAACACTCATAATTTGGTATCATCGGTGATTAGTTGATTTTTGTTTGCCACTGAAAGTCAACCAACCTCCCACGATCGACCTGTTACCGCACGCGCGCATACACACGCATGCCATAATGGGCAACAGCCATAACGGCCCCTAAGATGATCGAGGCATGGGACGCACTTTTGCAGCGTGTTAACTATCGTAGCTCACGTTAAGAATTGTTGTGCCATGATTGTCCTCCTACAGAAACCATATTAAAACAAAAAATATATTTCACTCCCCCATCTTTTTCCATTTTCAAACATTTTTGAAAAAGCTTCAGGGAGCCGCTAGGGCCACGGGTTGCCAACCCGCCACCTTGGTCGAGAACTGTTGGATTCAATTGATTGTTTTGCTCTGTATTCCTTGAAAAGGAGTTGTACAACCACATATTTCAATTAGAACTGTTTTCTGTCAAGTGGCCACTGGATTATTTTTTTCATTTTATTTCATTATTTAAATTCGTTTTTGTATGTGTTCTAAACAAAATCTGTATTTTATGAACAAATGGAAAAAGCGATGATCATAACGTGCCCTCAATTTCCATGCAGTTTTAAGATTAATGCTCCATTGGGATATCTAGGTCTTTCTTTAAAGTTATCTGTCATTGTTTTTGGAGAAATGTTATGTATTAAAAGTGCTCGTGGTTTCGGTGACTACCCAAGAGTTGAGTACTCCTATTAGTATTGGTCTCAAAAATAGTGCCACTAAACATTTCCACACAAAATAAAAGCACATACGTGCCAAGCGCCGACGGGTTGCTCCTGAGTTGCTCCAGGAGCTCTTTGTAGCTTGGATCTGCCAAGAGCTCACGGGTTCGAGGATCATTCTCCAGCTTTTGATACATGTTAGGCATGGCGAAAGGGTTCATCATTGATTTTTCTGAAATACAAAACATTGGTAATCATAAGCAAAGTCTGCTAAGGCGTGATTCCCCTAAGTGCACACCCAAGACTCAAGTCAAAAACGGTGTGCATTTACTATGATGTACATATTGAGGTGAAATCGTGTGGCAGAGTGTGTCCTGTCATTTCTGCGCTACAGCCGTTACTTTTTTCCACGTTTGAACCCTGCGGCTTTAAATGTCGCCGCTAATAGATTTGCCGATAGCCTTGTCACATCTGTCCAATAAAACGAAGGAACATGTCACAGTGGACTGTTTGGGTCTGTCCTCAAACAGAATATACACATCAGTCATTTTAGTAACACTCCTTCCATCAGGCAATACTGTGCGGCCATTCACTTTACCGCTTGTAAGAGAAACGACTGCTGAAGTTTGCCAATGGATCCTGACAGGGTGAAACAGTGTAAAAAAAAAAAAGAAACATTTACCAACGGGTTTCAAAAGTCTTGGACGGCTGCATGATGAAGAGGGCTGCGTAAGTTCTTCTGTGAAATTGACTCGTGCGACAAAGAGAGACTCTGAAATGTGTAAGTAGGAAGGGGCTGTTCTATGTCGACAGTAAAGAGCGCCTAGTGTGTTTAGTGTGCAGGAGAAGTCAGATGAAGATAGCCATCAATGACTTTTCAGCAAGGCTACTGTGTAATTTGTCATGTTCGACATTGATAGGGGGGGGGGGGTGCTTACTGGGATTCCAGGCAATTTAAAGAAAAACAAAAAAAAAAATCCACCTGTGACCTCTTTCTTTGCAAATATCCTATGTTATAACCATAGCTAATAAAGTGAGGCGCCAAATATATACACATATGGTATTTGTATTGATAGCTAAATTCAGCTGTTGTGGCTTTTAATCGGGTACGCTTTGTAGGCCAGAAATTACAGTAAATGTAAATTCAGGCCGAAATGATGAATTTGAAGAAGGGCTGCAAATAATGATTGTTTTAAGACTCGATTAAGATGGCCATTATTTTGTTGATTAATTGTTGAATAGGATTTTTTTAAAACTTCAGTCCCTTTGTTGAAAAAGATTGTTATTTAAAATGCACAAACACCAATGAATTAAGATTCAGTCACTGTAACATGTCAGAAAAATTGGCAACTTTGTTAATTTTTTTTCAAAAGTAAAAGCAAATGTTTGCTTTGGATTCAACACAAATATCATCTTTCTGCTGTCAGAAGTCAGAGAATAGGTAGCAATATCTTTTGGTGATGGTGTCCTGATTGTCTTCACTTTAATTGAAAGTGTAAATAAACCCTTGCAACTCTCATCCTAATATAATTATGGTCCCTTTCTGTGGGGCGATAGAAAGACCTACCTGCGAGGCGGGCCTCAATGTTCTGTAAACCCTCCTTCAGCTGCTGATTGTTTGGCTCATGCCGGATGCCCTCTTGGTACGTCGCTTTTGCATGCTCGAGTCGTCCAAGAAATTCCTGTGCCGCAGCTTTACGGGAGTAACCCTTGTTGATAAAGACAGAGATTGTTCATCAATTAAGATTACTGCAACAAATGTATTGTCAAAAGGATTACTACTAAACACAAATCACCTCACCTTGCCCCAGTCTGGCTTTATCTTGATGGTCTCACAAGCATCTTCGAGAGCCTTTTGATAATTGCCTTTTTTGGCGTAGGCAGCTGAGCGGTTGCTGAAGAGGACATGGTTTTTGGGGTCAAGCGTCACAGCTTCAGTGTAGCAGCGTATCGCCTCATCAATATTTCCTGCACTCAGTGCTTTGTTGCCTTGGTCTTTCAATGCAGACACCTGTGAACCAGTAGGCAGTAAATAAATGAAACACAAACGGACAATAATACGCACTGTTGGTCATGTTTTTTTTTTTTTTTTTTTTTTGCATTTCTTTCGTGAAGAAAAACACATGCTGATTTTCTCCAATATAGTGGATTATATGTGAACAGCTGCCAGTGGCAAGAGATAGGCAACGGGCATCTGTTCATGTCAGACAGGTGCAAGAAGTGACAGAATATGGCTTTAATTTTTTCATACACTATATATTGTTACGCACACTGTACATATATTAACTGACATAAGGCATTACACTCACTGTGTGGACTGAGCAACCAGTCTTAAAAATGAATGAAAATTATCACTTATGTACGTCACTGGTGATTTATTTTTTACAAGGGGTCTGCCATCTTTGGTGACCCCTAATATAAAAGATACAGAAATGATTTCATTAAAAAAAATAACAAATGCGTTCCACAAACACCCTTAAGAGGTACATGTTCCTGGTAAATCTCTCTCCCATAATCTAATGTCACAGACTGCTCAGAGGGAATCTGTTTTGACCGAAAAAATATTAAAATGAATTCAAGACACTGCATAGCAAGACAAGCGATAGCTCACATGAGCTAACCTGATACACTCAAATACTGTATAACGATTGTGCCCTCTTCAGGCGAGTAAAGTGGAGCACACTTTTTGCATGTAATGTTTTTTATTTGTCTGTTTGTTTTTACGCCAGTGTTGCCTTTGTAAAATACTCCTTAAATTAAAGCAGGGTGTTGGTGAGTATATTCATTGTGAACAGTAAAAGGCAGGTATAAGAAAAACAGTGTGGTCATGATAGCAGCCCCCTGTGCATCTAGAAAGACCTTCCGGACAGAGCAAAGGCGGTTGACTACAGCAACCAAAATGCTTCTTCGGCACGTGAATTCCAATGAGTACTACGATACACACCAGATCTTAGATTTAGCATTTTAATAAAACGTAAGAAATGTGTCATTTAATGCTGTTACCGAGTTTCAACAACCATTGCACCAAGGATAGCTGATTTAGGCTAACTAGTTGTTCACCAACACTGTGTGCTTATACTTGCAGTGGCATATTGACACAAAATTCAACGACAGGCCAGAACGCAAACTATAATGCTTTATTAAACAACAAGGCTGATGATGGTAAATCATAACTCATCAGATTGACGTATTTGCTTGACTTTGACATCGAACCGTGGACCATGATGACTTACACATTGTGCCCTCACAGTGAACAAGAAACGGACCCGCTTATATTGGCAAATTCAAGAATAGTTGGTCCTAAACGTTGGCACAAAAACAAGTATTAAATCTCAAGTGAAAGCCCGGTCAAACCAGGCAGCTACAGCGTGTTACTAGCTGATGGCTAACCCCAAGCCACGGACAATCAAGCTAACATTGCTGACCGATAACAGTGTTTCAGTACACACACGTATCTGCGCTATTCTCAGACACTTGAAATGTGAAGCGAATCAACAATAAAATAATAAGGGAAACGTATAAATGTACGGCTCGGCGAAACAAATAAAGCAAGATTTGTAAAAGACTCACTTTCTCCATGTTGCAAGCATGAGGTTCCTTCCAGAAACTACTGTGTGGACTAGCGCCGCCCCCCTCAACAACGTGTAGGTTGCCAGTTTTTAGCTGTCGCACAAATCCGCATTTGCAATATATATTTTGGATATAACGTCTGGAAACTTCCCGAAGGCGGTGGAAACGCGTTTTTAAGCTGCAAAAGTCGAGAAAAATGTTCTTGCCGAAACAAGCTACTCGGGTCTGAAAGAAGTAGCTTTGTGTTCCTGGTTTACAATAGTACAAAACATAAATGGTGTTGCGATTATGATTATCCATTCCACAAAAACTCATTCCCCTTTGATGAATATATTTGCTGAACATTAAGTTTTGGTTGGATATTGACCTCTCCATTGATAAAACCCGAATGTCAAACTGACCCAATACAATTTAAAGATTTACAAGTAAATTTCATTGCGAAACTTCTTAAAATTGACCGTGATCTTGGTTTGTATGTTTCTGACACTTTTGGATCGTAAAACATACCCAGGAACATTATTGCTGTTTTTGAGAGACCGACTTATAGGCGAGTTAGATTTTTATAATGCTGAAAATAATTGTATTTGACCATTCTACGCGTATTTTCGACAAGCACTTGCATGTTGCGTGATGACTGCCGGATTTTATTGTTAGAGCCTGAAGGCACCACATTAAGTTCAACCGACAGTACACACTGCTTTTTGGCGCAATTTGCTTTCCCAGACGCCGAATCGTAGGTCGTTTTGCTAATAATAATGATATGAAAAGTTTATGTCCTATTGACATTGTTTATTGGTCACATACATTTCAATTTGTTTGCGTTTCTTATTCTTTAACCATCACAGCTGTTGAATGTTAATGTTTAATAACACCAAAGCTGAATGTCAGACACAGCTAACTAGCATAGCCAGCGAACATAGATTGAAGTCGATAACTGCCTGTCCATATATTAACCTGTAAATTGGTTTGCCACATTCATTCAATGAATTTCAGGATTCTAGCCTTTGAACAACAAGGATGAAAAGGAACGACAATCTGCAATGCAGACCGAAAGCAGGTTTGAGAGAATATGTTTAAAACCCGGGCGGCCCGGTATCGTGTGGTTAGCACGTTGGCTTCACAGTGCAAGGTACCGGGTTCAATTCCAGCTCGGGCCTTCCTGTGTGGAGTTTGCATATTCTCCCAGTGCTTGCGTGGGTTTTCTCCCACATTTCAAAAACATGCAAGGCAGTCTGATTGGACACTCCAAATTGTCACTAGGTGTGAGTGTGAGCGCGCTCATTGGACACTCCAAATTGTCACGAGGTGTGAGTGTGAGCGCGAACGGTTGTTTGTTTCTGTGTGCCCTGCGATTGGCTGGCAACCGGTTTGCGGTGTCCCCTACCTACTGCGCGAAGACCGCTGG